AACTCCACTTTAGCAACATAAATTCATCAACTAACCATTCAGAGACGTCCTGTTGCATTCCACATGTTGTCACTTCTTCTTGAGTCTCTCCATCTTTGACTGACACCATTAACATTTAAGGGAGAACAGTTTCTGTCATTTTAGTGTGTCTGCGTGAGGAAATCGCAGCTGCTGAGCTCTTGAAACCCCGCCCTCTGCAGCAACTCATTTGCATTTAAAGGGCCAGGTACAAAATGTTGCGTTTTTTGCAAACCCTCAAAAAGGGACAACTTTAACATGCTATATAAAAATATCTGTGGCGTATTTTGTGATAAAAATTCACACACACACTCTAGGGACATCAGAGATTTATTTTACATCTTGTGAAAATGGCATTTTACCACCCCTTTATATGGAACAGTGTATTTAACCTTTAGACCAAGGGTTTTCAATGTTACCTTTCAATGTGTGGGATATATATTTCATGTGTGGAAATCGGGAAAAAATGGGGAAACAAAAAGATCTGAGTGACTCTGTTAAAGACCAACTAATGACGGCTAGATGACTAGGTCAGAACATCTTCAAAATGTTAAGTCTTGTGGGGTGTTCCCAGTATGCAGTGGTTAGTACCAAACAAAAGTGGCTCAAAGAGGGACAACCAAACAGGCATCAGGGTCTTGGGTGCCCAAGACTCATGGATACACATGGGGAGCGAATGCTATACTGTCCAATCACACAGAAGAGCTACCGTAGCTCAAAGTAATGCTGCCACGTAGAAAAGTGTGAGAACCCTCAGTGCTTGTATGGGGCTGCAATGCAGAGCTAAGAGTCAGATCTGGACGATGAAGCAGTGAAAGAATGTTACCTGGTTTAATAAATCACCTTTTCGGTTTTTAGATCAGGTGTGCGTCATTTATTAGTCAGGCCAGCAGAGTTTTGGGAATTATGGTTTGGGAAATCTTGGGTCCTAGCATTCATGTGGATATAACTGACACGTGCCACCTACCTAAAGATTGCTGCAGACCACATACACCCCTTCATGGCAACGATGTTCCCTGATAACAGTGGCCACTTTCAGCAGGAAAATATACCCTGCTAAAATTGATTAGAATGGTTATGAAAATTTGAGCTTTAACGAGTTTTGCTCCACTTAATCTCCAAGATCTCAATGCAATTGAGCCGCACCAACAAATTCAGTCCATGGAGGCCACACCTCACAACTTGCAGAACTTAAAGGATCTACTGCTAATGTCTTGGTGCAAAATACCACAGGACGCCTTTAGAGGTCTTGTGGAATCCATGCCTTGATGCATCAGAGCGGATTAGGCACAATGGCATCATATTAGGCAGGTGGTTTTAATGTTGTGGCCGATCAGTTTATACTTCAGGGGTTTATGGCCCCTATAGTGAGAATATACTGTAGAGCACATGCTTGAGGAAAAAAAATACATTTTTATTCAGAGGCCATGTGCAATTGGTTATTTATATGTTCAAAAAGTAATATGAAATTCTGATATCTTGTAATGTAATCAGTGAGATTTATAGTATAACAGACTATTTACATTAATTCAGCTACATAAAAATGTATGTAAAGAAAATATTAGCTGTCACTCTGTATCTCCTATTAAGAAGATATTTAAAGCTGCACAGCTGCACGTCCATGACACGAATCACCTGTTCCTAAGAAATATATATATATATATATATATATATATATATATATGTATTCTCTTTACTCTCTTTACTAATATATTACACATACAGTACCATATCTGATCACATATACATCTATATTAAGAAGTGTATCACTGAATATAAAATTACATACATTATGATATTTTAGTAAATATATTGTCATATATTAATTAATATATGAAAAGCGTTCAATGTTCGCCATGTTGTGCGTTCAATGAGTGTTATTTGAGTAACTGTTGCCTTTCTATCAACTGGAAGTGGAACCAGTCTGGCCATTCTCCTCTGACCTCTGGCATCAAGTCATTTTCGCCCACAGGACTGCCGCTCACTGGATATTTTCTCTTTTTCAGACCTTTCTCTGCAAACCCTGGAGATGATTGTGCGTAAAAATCTCAGTATTAGCAGATTCTGAAATGCTCGGAGCAGCCAGTCAACAACCATGCCACATTTCTTCACCATTATGATGCTTAGTTTGAACTTCAACAGATTGTATTGACCATGTCTATATGCCTAAATGCATTGAGTTGCTGCCACGTGACTGGATTAGATACCTGTGTAAACAAGTTGTAACAAATTTAATAAAGGGGCCAGTGAGTGTATATTTCAAGATTGAGCAACCCATCTTGACTCCCAAGATGTCAAAGACACCCAACTTGTCACTTAAGAAGATTGTAAGTCTGATGTCACTGCCTGATAACGGAGGCTTCAACAGGCAGATGAGATACATCTGAAATCCCAGTGTTGAGTATCAGTCCCATGGGAGCATCTTATAACCACTTCTCCAGGAATTCCAGAGGCGTGTCCCGCCAGGTTTGGCTGAAGGCCACATTTCATGAGATGGCTGTGTAATCCAAGCAAACCCTCCCATCCTGATCCTGTCAACACCCAGTGTCCAACGCTCCAGGAACTACTGTCCCAGTCTGCAGTGTGTGACGCATCAGCTTTTGGAAGCAATGCACACCTCAGATGGATTGCTGTGTAGTTGTCAGAGATAGATGGCAGATGCTTTAGATGTAACCTGATTATAAAGTGTAGATCTTGTGTGCTGTGATACATGGACAGAAGGCACTGGAATTTCAGTTAAAAGAGAGGAGAATATAGGACCATACACACTGCATGTGTTCTGTGTACAGTGTTGTGGTTCACCCACAAGATCATTGGCTGGGAAGAAAGTTGTCCTAAATAAATGTAAACAGAAATCAGATACAATTTAGTTGTATGTGAATCTGAATATTCTGGTCATGCTGTGTGCTTTTTTGTTTGTTAAAACTCATAAGAGTTTATAAGAGAATCAGACTGGATTGGTTATGCTGTAAATTTAGTAGTGGTAGTACGCTGCCACTATGTAAAAACAGTAGCACCTCAATGCAGAACATGAGATCCACGGGGAGGAGTCGGATCACGATCCAAGGGGTGGAGATGGGTAGGATTAGGGTTGGGTTTAGGGATTAGGGGTGGGTTTAGGGATCAGGGGGCGGAGTTGGTTAGGTTTAGGTGTATGTAAGGTGGGAGGAGTTGGATCTGGATCCGACTCCTCCCCATGGATTTCATGTTCCGCAGTGAGGACCATCTCTGTAAAAATGCCACAGTCTTTCAGAGTATTTAATTTTATGCTGCAGAATGCATGTGCAAAAAAACAAAACAAAAACAACAACAACAAAAAAAAAATACTAAAGCTGTCACTGAGGCTGTACCTTTTCAAAAGGTAAACTTTTAGGTGCTAATATGTACATTTTAAGTGTTAATATGTACATTCTAGGTGCTAATATGTACATTTTAAGTGTTAATATACATTTCGGGAGCTAATATGTCCATTTTAGGTCCTAATATGTCCATTTTAGGTGCTGATATGTACATTTTAGGTGTTAATATGTACATTTTAGGTGCTAATATGTACATTTTAAGTGTTAATATGTACATTTAGGGAGCTAATATGTACATTTTAGGTCCTAATATGTACATTTTTGGTGCTAATATTTTAGGCACTATTATGTACATTTTAGGTGGTAATTTTAACATTTTAAGTGTTAATATGTACATTTTGGGAGCTAATATGTCAATTTTAGGTCATAATATGTACATTTTAGGTGCTAATATATGTACACTTTAGGTTCTAGTATGTACCACTAAGGTACCAATATGCAGCCTTTGGGTACAAAAGTGTATCTTTTGAAAAGGTACATACCCAGTGACAGCTTTTGTAACTTTTTTTTCTAGTACCCAGTAAAATACTATAAAACAGTACACAAAAAGAGTAGTATGTCTGAATATGCTGAATTTGGAGCCGCATAGTAGCATATACTCTTACAATTTCTGCCAAGATATGGTAAAAGTAAGAGTAGTACGCTTGTATGTGCTTCTGAATTCAGCAGCTGTATTCGAAAAACAGTAGACAAAAGTCCCTGGATAACCTACTACTTCCATCAAGATTCTGAAGTGCGCGTTCGACGGACAGTGTATAGGAGGATATTTATGAATGGAAGTGAAGCGATGGAACTGACACTGATACATCATGTGACAGTAACATCATGGCAGATGTAGTATGCCCAACTTTTATTCAATCAGAATGCATATGACTTTAAGCATTTAAAGCCCAGATGGAGTGCACACTTAGAATAAATGGCTAATGTTATCTTTTAGTTATCTTTATCATATACCGGTCTTGGTGTGAATCTAAAAGTCAGCATGAAATGGAAGTTGCAATATTTTCTTCCCAATTGTGATAAATAGGGTGAATTCAGGTGAATTGGGACACCATCCCAATGTCAAAAAGTTTTCCAATTATCCTACTTAAAAACAGCTTCTTAAAAAAAAAAAAAATGTTTAGGGTGGGACTTGATTGTGATTGGATCCTTGTTATTTGCTATTGTGATCTCATGTGAGTGACAGGTTGTCCCACCCTTGTGCCAGGAAACACGTCATCAAAAAAGAGATGTCACTGCAAGAGAGAGAGGGGAAGCTATTTTAATTCAAAATTATGAGGTAGGCTACATGAATGTGCACTCAGAAATTATTTTTTAATAAACATTAATCCATAAAACATAAGAATGGTCAATTTTGATTTCATGGTGAAAAGTTGTACTTCACGTTTTTACATTGTAGCCTACTGGAAGGTTAAAATTCTTCCTAGTAAGCTCTTTTTCTTATTTAGAAGATGTGCTATTCCTCATGATGTGCTGCTCATCCTAGCACAGATTAAATCCTAAAGGTCTACCCCTGAATTTGAGAACAATGGGTTAAAGTGGGCGGGTTGTCACATAGGAGGTGTGTCTTGTGCTAAAAGGGGGCGGGGCTTGAAGAGTTCGTCACCCTCGTGTGTTTGAAGCAGTCAGCTGAGCACAACTTGTGCGGACGCGGCTCTAACCTCGTACAACATGCGAGATCACAAGGAAAACGTTTAACCCTGTGCACAGTTTGTCATTCCAACGTGTACAGAATACAATCCAGTTAAACACCCTCCCTTTAATTCAACTTCTCCGTTCTTTTCCGCGAAGATTGCCAGTTTTGAGGTGAGTAGCCTAGACCTAGAGAGTTTGGATGGATGTGTTGAGAACATATGGTTTCGTGCTCATGCTATATCTAGAGATACCATATGGGGATATCATTTAGGAAAGTGTTTTGTATGCTATTTACATTAAAACATACCCGTCAACAAATGAGTAGCTTACATTTGCAATAGTGTCGACTTGAAGTAAACTTGCACAGATATAGGTTTTGTGAGTGAAACGTTCTCAAAAAGAGTCGGGTCTGTTGCCAATAAACCGGTAAACTTTGCGCAGGCGTGTTTACAAACAACTTCAGGAGTCGATGTTTATTTTTAGATCGTATTTATAGATTCAGTTCTAGCTGTGAATTTATATTTTTATGGTTGGGATTTGAGAACCGTTTATATTTTAAAACAACTAGAACCGAATAATTGTCATAGGCTATGATGTGATTTTCTTGTCTGGTTTTCGGGTGCATTCTTCCGCCGATGCGGATACCGTAGCGCACGGACCGTTTCAACGCGCAATTTAGCACCGCTACTGCAAAAACATCGGGAAACACCAGAGTAGTCCGTGCGAATGGCTTTCTTTGTAACGTTAGTGATATAAAAACATAGAGAGCAACCAAAGCAGGCGAGTCTAGCTCCCCAAATGAATGACTCCTTGGGGCCGGTTCCTTTAGTCATTCATGCACGACTGGGTCCCAGGGGGCCTTTCATGCACAGTTTAGCCCCAACACTGATGAAAACTCACCTGTAACTTTCAATCCTGAAGACATGACGCTTGTTCAGATGTGTTTGATTGGAGTTGGAGCTAAACTCTGCAGGAGAGGCGCGTCCTCCGGGACCGAATTGCCCATCTCTAATATTCACGAACCAAAGACTTTGGCCAGTTCTTTTCTTTCTTTTTTTTAGCGAATCAGCTTCATAGGGGCGCCATTGGTGTAGTCAGATTCCAGAGGGAATGACTCATGAGCCGGTTTATGTAGGCTACGCTACTGATTCAAAAGTAGATGAATCGTTTGGAGTGGTTATTCAATTAATCTGAATATTACTTGCTGAACATTTGTTACTTTCATCGGTCTCGTAACCGAGAAAAGTTAGTGTGTTATTGCGGGGACGTGCATGAGTGTTACAGAATTGTAGTTAAAGTTAAGCCTATACATTGATTTTTATTGAAGGCTAATCAGTGCTAATTTATAATGAATGAATGTAATGTTACCGCGTTTGTTTAGCACCATTTTTATGTTTAATATTTAGGAACAATTATTGGATTGCATTTCTGCCACCTTTAAAAATCTATAGCACACCTTTTGAATGATTGCAACACTTTTATTTTGTTTTTGTTTTATTTTTATTTTGAAATCTGACATGATCTTTTTGGAAATTCCTATGTTTTCCATTCTAAATTTTGATGCAGAAATTGCACATTTGGTCTATATTTTTCCACCTAGAAAGAAAAATAAGTTTAACTTTTCTGTTTCTGACTTTTAGATTTGGTTTTAAGATAACAGTTCTAAGGGAAAAAACAGAATAAATCATTTTAAAAGATAATTGCAAGTTTACGTTTTGCAATTCTTCTCAGATATAAACTATTGCATGTTTTAAAGTCAGACTTAAAAGATTTAAACTCTCTATTGCATGCATGTTATAAAGCCAGGATTGCGAGATATAAACTCTCAATTCTGACTTTTTTTTATCTTGCATTTGACTTATTTTCTCTGAATTGTGCGACTCGAGTTATAAAGTCCACTTCTGAGGATGTGTTTTTTTGTCACGCAGTTGCGACTTTATATCATGCAATTCTGAGAGAGCCAAATTAAAAAAAAAAAAAAAAATTTACATTTTTTTTTATTCTTAGGCGGAAACAAGCTTCCATACATGCATTGTTCTAAAGTCCCTTTAATAAGTCTGTATATAAAAGTCTTTGCTACAGTGTGCTATTAGACTATCAAATACATCATTATCTTATTTTGTGCGAGAACTCTCTCTTTCTTCCTCACACGGGCTAACAGAAAGGTGTATCTTTTTTCTTTTGTCAAGGAAGGAAGGGAAGTTGTTCGGTGGTTCTCTAACAATAGACTGGCCGAGTGCAGGGGTTGGATTTTAAAGGCATGTTCAGGCACACGTATGAGTTTGCCTCTCTCTCACACACACACTCACACACACACCTACACCTCAAGTAGAAATGTGTGGGTTTTATTTGGCAGAGATTCTGTAGAATGAAATGAAGCAAGACGACAACTCCAAATTGCCGCCTCCAGGGCTAGGGAGTTCAATTTAATGTCATTTTAGTTCATAAATTCATATACCTAGTGCTCACCTAAGGGAGGTAAGAATAAGGAGAATCTTGATAACATCAAGCAAGTCAGCATATTCTTGTTCAGATGGCACAGATTGTAATTTCTCCTAATTTTTTATCCTAGTCTTTAAGTCAAGGTGACATGTTAGTAGTATATGTGTAGTCATTAAATGAGTTATATAGTTAGGTGTTTGAGATATGTGAAGGTTTTTACACTGACAGTGGTTTGTGGAATCAAAACAACAAGACGTTTTTATCTTTATTGAACATTTTTGTGGATGAAAGGATAGGCAGTTTCCCCATTTTTCTTCTTTATTTCTTTCTTTTATCTCTAATGTTGTCTCCCACCACCCTACTTTATTTGATTGTGCCCCCTCAATCTTTAACACCAAATGTAAGTGTTCAATTTCATCCTAAAAATAAACAAATCAGAATGTACTCTGCGGTCCTGTGAAACAGCAGTTAGCTTGCTAAGAAAAAAAATTCTCCATGATAGATAGAGAGAAAAAATGGGTAAGAGTACTGAATGCACTATTATTAGCATTGGCCACATAGTCTTTAGGGGGAACGAGAGAATAAGCAAAAGTGCAAAGGTTTAGAAAGGGAGAGTAGTGTTACATGTGCTCTTAATTTAACTGTTGGTGACTGATCCAGGCCCATTGTGTTTGTTTTGGTCAGAGTTGCTGAAGTCTATACAAAAGTGGTTTCGGTCAATCCATTCCAAAGCCAGTTTATTTAGAGCAAGAGTGCACTAAAACTACACATGGACTGTCATCCAACCTATCATACTCCACTGGCTCGCATGGACAGTTAGTGGGAACTCGTGTCGGTTTGCATTGCGCTTCAGTCTGTCTCCAGTCTGATTTTTCTTTTTCTCGCTAGCTCTTTTGTTTGTGTGTGGTCACACGGGTGGTCCATGTTAGAAAGATTCTTACCTGATTTCGGAGTCTTGGAACACACACATACCCAGCTGCCTCCGATGGACCGCCACTCCGTCACAGGGCAGTAGGTCTTTTGATCCCCCTGCCGTACCTCTCCTGGCTTCCAAAGCCTATAGATCTTCCACACAAGCCAATTCGACACAATGCACTGCTCTAACTTTTTCCCATTCACAGCCAAAGCTTAACCTATTTTTTTAATCAAATCATCTTGACCTTTAACCCAAATCACCTTAATATATATTTAGTATCGGTCAATAACGGATTAAAAAAATGCTAATCGGCCAATAACCAACATAGCTTGATGTGTTAAATGTCAGGCAACATTCCTTCAAGGTTTTGGGTGGAGTGAAAGACACTTCGAAGCCTTGGAAGGTTCAAGTTGTATTGGTATTTTTATTATTTCGACGAAATGTCATATGGAGTCTTATGACGCCAAAAGATGAGAACAGGCTGGACTGACACAGTGTCACAATGTGTTTCATGTGTGCAGAGATGTAAAAAGTAGTAGAAACCCGGACTTGAGAAAGTACAAGTGCTCGATCAAAAAAAGTGACTTGAGTAGAAGTTGAAGTGCTCTTTAAGCATCACACTTAAGTAGAAGCACTGAAGTATTTAACATTTTTTGTACTTAAGTATTGCAAGTAGTTTATTTTAAAATTCGCTACTTAAGTACTAAAAGTAAAAGTACAAGTATTGTGTCATGTAATTATTAAAGAAAAGCAGTCAAAAGTTTGAACTAGCAATCAAATAAGGCGCTTTGGCGGGATACAAATTTGCTTTGGCGGCCGCCAAAAAAAGTAATTGCAGGACAACCCCTGCATTAGTTGTCAATGTGTGTGTCAATCAATCCCATTATCCTATAAAACTGGCTTGCGATTTAGGCAGCATGAAAGGCAACTTGCAAGGCAACTTGCAACGAATGATTCGTAAAATTTTTATAATTGTAACGAGTAACTAGCAAAACATTAAAAAAAATATCGAAGTTAAAAGTATTAAATTCATCGAAAATATCTACTGAAGTAAAAGTATGAGAAAAAACAATACTCTAGTAGAGTACAGATACAGCATTTTAGTACTTAAGTACAGTACTTAAGTAGTTCTACTTCGTTACTATACATCTCTGCATGTGTGAAGAAAACCGCCTCTCTCAGACGGCATGTAATACTTAATTGTTCTTTTTTGCATGTAAAGTTTAAAAAAAATCAGCATTTTTGTGGAGTATTCACGTAAACACACTGATTTCTTAAGTTAGCGTAAACCGTAAAAACCTAATGTGTGTTAGTATATTAGATCTGTGCATGCTTTTTTTAAGAGCCCCAATCATAGCATTTGAAATGTTCCTATTTTTGTCTTAGGAGTTCCCAAAAACAGTTTAACGTGCATGCAAGGATAAAAAAAACACTTTATCTGTCTTATAATATGCATTTATTTTTAACTGATTTGATCAACGACTAAAAAAATGATTCGTTCGACGATTCATTTTCCCAAACACCTCCGTTGAGTGACGCGAATCTGCGGCGATTGGTCAAATGACCCAGTCAGTTGTTATTGGTAAACCGTAAGCAGAGACTGTCGGCAACGGAACGCCCATAACCAGGATTATAGCTTGTCAAGTGTTGAAAATTGTATATAGTGTTTGAACAAACGTGTCAGAAAGAGTGTACTTTCCACACGGTCCCTTACTCGCGTCTCCGTCAAGAGCAAGCTTTCCCGGCGAAAATCACATTGCGGCGGCTTTTGAGGGGCAGTGCTTATTATATAGAGCGAAGTCATATTTGGCTA